GGCAAAAGTCCACAGCTCAGCCCACCTTTCTCTTCACTTTCTCCCTTTGTTCCCCAGCCATCGTGCACAGTCCTCTGTGCAGTCTCTGGCTACCAGGGTGATTTCTAGGTTAATTCTTATGTCCTACTACCACTTGGGAATCTCCAAGCCATGCGTCCCATCTGTGCCATCAGGGTTGCTCAGGTCGCTGCCAGATTGCAGCTCCGTGTGTCTCCTTTTTTGGTATTTTCACGCAAATTCTTCTGCTAGTTGGGGTTTAATTCACTTTTGTATCCTTCCCTTCAAGGCTCAGGGGTCCAAGATTATCTTCTGTGTCTGTGTTAATTGGTTTCCCTTTTCTTTGTTGAAGAGGGTCTGTGTAGTCCTTCTGCCTAGTCCGCCATCTTTCTGGAACTCCCCTGATGTGCCTTTTAAAGAAATCAAAAGCTATCTGTTCCCATTTGACAGCCCCTCTGAGTCTAAAGCAATAGTTCCACTAACTCACATAATGCTACATACCAAACCAAGGACAAATATTAGACAACAGTTCAGTAAGTGAAGAGTTCAGTAACAGTAAATTCGACAGTAAAGATCTGAAAAACTGGCCACAACTGTGTAAAGCAATGTGACTTCTGAAATACATGAAATGAATAATGTGCTCTCAAAATTGGTATGTGTTTCTATTCAAAGAATAGTCTCATCTTTTCAACAAATGGTGCTAGGATAACGAGATGTACATATATAAAAAATGAAGCTGGATCCCTGCCTCATATCCTATACAAAGATTAACACAAAATGGATAAACAACTAAAATGTAAGAATTAAAATCATAAACTGTGTAGAAGAAAATGTAATAGTAAATCTTTAGGACTTTGGATTTGGCAATGAACTCTTAAATATACCAAAAACATAAGCAATAACAATAAGAAAAATAGATAAATTAAATTAAACTTTATAAAAATTAAAAACTCCCATGCATCAAAAGACAGTACTAACAAAGTGAAAAGCAATGTACAGAATGGGAGAAAATATTTGCCAGTCATATATCTGACAAAGGTTTAATATCTAGACTATGTGAAGAATTCCTACACTCCAGCAACAGAAAGATAAGCAACTTAAATTTAAAAATGTGTAAAGGACTGGAATAGAGAAGTCTCTAAAGAAGATATGCATGCTTCCTCAAAAATCTAGATAAAGACATACCATATGATACAGCAATCAAATTACTACATATAGAACCTAGAGGAATAAAAGCCATGATGTGACTAGACATATACACACCATGTTCACTGCAGCATTAATCATAACAGCAAAAAAGATGGAAAGAGCCTAAGTGCCCATCAATGGATGAATGGATAAACAGACTGTGGTACATACACACAATGGAATACTGTACAACAGTAAATAATAATGATGAATCGGCAAAACAATTCATAACATGCACGAACCTGGGAGATATTATGCTGAAGGAAATAAGTCAATCACAGAAGGACAAATATTGTATGAGACCACTATTATAAAAAAGCCAATAAAAGGTTTATAAACATAAAGAAGCATTCTTTGATGTTTACCAGGGATGGAAGTGCAGCCAGAATGCTTCTTGGAAGCGAGAATGGCCAGACTTTGTCTCACCTACTTTGGTCATGTTGTCACAAGAGACTATTCCCTGGAGAAAGATAACATACTTGGTAAAGTAGAGGGTCATCAAAAAGAGTGAAGACTCTCAACAAGATGGATTGACACAGTGGCTGCAATCATGGGCGCAAGTATAACAAGGATTATGAGGATGGTGCAAGACCAGGCGGTGCTTTGTTCTACTGTACATAGAGTCGCTATTAGGCAAAGTTGACTCAATAGCACCTAACAACAATAAGGGATGGCGGAGGGTGGGAGGGAAAATTACTAACTAGATAGTACACACATGCTAAATTTGGTGGAGGGAAAGACAATATACAGTATGGTGGAAGTCAACATAACATAATCAAGGTAAAATAAGACACTGAAAAGTATGCAAGAGTGAAAGGCAACAACGGTAAGTACTATGACATATATAATCCTGCAACAACTGAAATAATAAACAATAATGTACAAGTAGACTCACAGGTAGTTATGTAAGCTGATTAGGGCAGGAGAGTGTATGGGAGTACATCTACATGCATATATATATATATATATATAGGGTTGGCATTGGCTACGCCTACATATATATTTGCAAGTGCTGCAAATATACACGTGTATATAATAGAGTACACAGGGGACACAGTCATGAAAACTTCTGAACCAAACACCTCCTATGACTGAGATACTGGGCTTGAGGGCTAGGGACCATAGTCTGGGCAGACATCTAGGTCGCTTGTCATAATATAATCCATAAAGACAATGTTCTATGTTGGGGACCAAGAAAAAGACTCCCAAAAGAACATGACTGCAAGGCACATGTTCTAATTACAGTGAAGAGATGATTGAGGGTTTGCTTTTAGAGATGTGGTTGACTGTTGCTTTAAGAGATGGCAAGGTCTTTCTCACTGTTAAATACTTAATTGGCAAAACATCAAAGTATTAAAAGTAGATGTTATTATCCATGTTTTTATCTTATTGGGATGTTTCAGACTTTGGGTCATTGTGTCCTAGTAAACATTTATTATTTTACACTTCCTATTCCTGAGAAGATTTTTGTGATTGTTTTAATGACCACCTGTTGTCCTTGAGCACATAGAGGAGTAAAACTTTAGCTCTGTAGAGAATAAGTTGACTGTATGGATTCCAAGACTAATGATGTAATCATGTACAAACATATAAATAAAGTAGAACAAAGGCATCAGGGGTCGCTCTTGCAGAATGTGCAGGGTGTCCACCTGTCCCCCATTCCTTTTAAATAAAAAAGAAAACCATTAATCCTTTTGTGTCGCTTCATTTTGTGACTTGTATGGTTTTGCCAGACGCGGCAGTTCTACATCCAACTTTGGTGAGTAGCAACCGGAATCTTAAAAGCTTAGGAGGGGCCATCTAAGTTACAGCTCTTGGTCTCTTTCCATCTGGAGCCAGGCAGAGTGAAGAAAACCAAAGATTCAAAAAAACAATTAGTCCAAAGGAGTAATGGACTACATGAACCACAGCCTCCACTAACTTGAGACCAGAAAAACAAGATGGTGCCAGACTACCACCACCTAGTGCTCTGACCAGGATCATAATAGAAGGTATCAGATAGAGTGGGAGAGAAAAGTAGAACAAAACTCAAACTCACAAAAAAGACCAGACTTACTGGTCTGATAGAGACTGGTGGAATCCCTAAGACTATGGCCCTTGGTTGCCCTTGGGGCTTGGAACTGAACTAAATCCCAAGGCTTAACCTTCAACGAGACAACAGACAGAAAGTGCACAATTACACCAGGAAGGTACACTCCTTAGAACAATCAACCATAGGAGATGAAAAAGGCAGCATTTGCACAGGGAGAAAGCAAGATTGCATAGGAAGGAAGGACACAGGGAATAGGCAACCACAGGAAAAAATTGGGAAGAGAGCTGTTATATTGTAAGGACTGCAATCAATGTCATAAGACAAAATGTGTATGAACTGTTGAATGGAAAATGAATTTGATACCCATCAAACTTAGACCTGAAGACACTCCTGAAGATCATCTTCCAGTCCCATAAAAGAGAGACCTATAAGGTGAACAATAACACCCAGGAGGAACATGCTCCTCAGACAATCAACGATATGAGGACCAAAAGGGCAGCATTCACCCAAAAGCAAAGCTAACAAGCCAGGAAGGGGCAGGAAAACAGAAACCAGAAACTCAATGTGGATAATACTGACAGACTGCAGTGATTGCAACCAACTTCAAAGAACAATCTGTGTATAAATTGCTGAATGGGAAACTAATTTGTTTTGTAGTAAACTTTCACCTAAACCACAACTTAAAAACAAAAGAGAGAGAGATACACGAAAAAAATGATCAATATCATTAGTCATTAGGGAAACGCACAGTGAGGTACCATTTTACCCCAACTATGATGACTATTATGAAAAACAAAACAAAACAGAAAATAACAAGTATTGGCAAGGATGTGCAGAAACTGAAACCCTTATGCATTGCTGCCAGGAATATAAAATTGTGCGGTTGCTGTGGAAAACAGTTTGGCAGTTGCTCAAAAAGTTTACAACATAGAATTACCATGTTGTTGTTCCACCAACTTTTTGGCTAGTAGCTGAGCACTTAACCACTGCACCATCATGGCTCTTTAGAATCACCATACAACCTAGAAATTCCACTCTTAGATATATACCCAAAAGAACTGAAACCAGTGACTCAGACATGCTTATACACCAATGTTCATTGAAGGATTATTCGCAGAAGCCGAAAGTTGGGAAAAAACCTAAATGTCCAACAACAGATGAATATATGAGCAAAATGAATATACCTACAATGGACTATGATTCAGCTATAAAGAGAAATTAAATTCTGATGTATGCCACTAGATGCATGAACCTGAAGTGAAATGAGCCAGACACAAAAGGACAATTATTATGTATCATGTTTATAAGAAATATTTAAAATAAGCAAATGCATTGAGACAGAAAGTAGGTTAGAGGTTACTTTTGGCTGAGGGGTAGGAGAATGGGGAGTCAATGCTTAATGGGCACAGAGTTTCTGTCTGGAGTGATAAAAAGTATTAGAACTAGACAGTGGTGATGGTTGTACAACATTGTAATTACATACTGGGTTTTATACTTAAAAATGTTAAAACGGCAAATTTTATGTTATCTATATTTCACCACAAAATTTTAACAAATTTTCTAAATTAAATTTTTTTGTTTAACTTACTGTGTCTCAGAAGATGAAACTCATGTGAAATTAACTCATTAAATTAGAGAAGAAAAGGAAAAATCAACATTAAAACAACAGGGCAGAGAAGAAATGACTTATACAGGATATCTTTTTTACCTGCTTCAGTTTCTTCTTCTTCTCTTTGCTGGAGAGTTTGGCATCTGTTATGACTTCCTCCAATAAAGCTGCCAGAGGTTCCTGAGAGCCATAGGCTCTTTGGTATTCAAATTCCTCTGGACTAATTTGACGGCAAAATGATGGGGCAGATAAAGTGACATCCATATCAGCTCCTGGGTATTTAATCTGAAGCAAAAGGATTAGTAGTGGAAGGAAATGGTGTATTTTCACATAAATTACAAAAGTTAGTTCAGATCAAACACCCAAGCATGTCCAACAGGAATGTCTAGTCATTCCTCAATTTAACTGAGAAAAAAATGTTATACTGGTTGTAACAATGTTTCCAAGACTTCCAAATAATATCACTTCAAGCTGCAGTTTAAACATGACACTTTCACCTTTTTAAGCCCAATATCCATTTGAATACCAAATAAATAAATAAATAAAAATTCTTGTATCCTCTTTTAATAACATCTGAAGTCTGAACATAAGTTAAACATATTGACTATAACAATTCAAAAGAGTCATAGATTGAATACACATTGTGAAACTATCCAGGCTCCTTCCCACATCTGAAGAGTCTCATTCTCCATAAAGAAGGACAGAGGCACACAGCAGCTAAGCTGTTAAGGAGAGACAGGTATTGCAATCATTTCCAAACAAGTTCATAGTGAGAATCAAGTAAAAACAACAAATTTGCAGACAATGTACAAGGCAAAGGAGAGAAATAAAAGGACAAAAATAAAATAAAATCAAGACCTGAGAATAAACAAACATCTATTAAAAGCATTTAATTCAGAGTCCACAAGGTTTATCTTCATAAAAACACAGCACCTATGGGGTGCAGACAGTTAGCACATTTGGCTGATAAAGGAAAGACTGGTGGTTCCAGTCCACCCAAAGGCGCCTCAGGAAAAAAGTCTACTGATGTACTTCTGAAAAAACAGTCACTGAAAACTCTGTGGAGTACAGTTCTACTCTGACACACATGAGGTCGTTAGGAGTCAGAATCAACTTCACAGCAATAGTGTCGATGGTTACTATTCTGCTGAAGTTCCCACTATTAACGTTCACTTTTTGTTTTCCAAGAAGCCCCAGTTAAACACAAATATGTTGCTTGGAAGGTTATTCCATTAGGCACATCCCATGCCTCAAACATCAGTTCACCATATTAATTAGAGACAACTTATCAGAGACCAAGAAGCCATGCAGGCACCGTGAGGAAGTGTTCAGCTGCTACCTGAAAGGTCAGCAGTTTGAACCCACCAGCCCTGCAGTAGAAAGCTGTGACAGCCTGCTTCTGTAAAGATTACAGCCTTGAAAACCCCATGGGACAGTTCTACTCTGTTCTATAGCACTGGTATAAAATGGAATCTACTTGATGGCAACAGGTTTTTGGTATTAACAGAGACCAGAGCCATAGGGAAAGGGGCATACTCAGGACATTTCCCTTTTATTTGGAGCAGAAAAGGGCAAGAATAAAGGGTGGAGCCCAAGGAGTATGAAATAGCCAAAAGCCTAAAAAGAAAACCTACTGTCATATAGTCATATCTGACTCATAGTGACCCCTCCTTAGGTTTCCAAGGCAGTATCATTACAGCAGTAGATTGCCCAACCTTCCTTCTGAGGAGTGGCTGGTGGGTTTGAACCGCCAGCCTTCTGGTTAGCAGTCAAATGTCTTAGGCACTACACTACCAGAGATCCTAGCGAAAAGCCTAGGATGTGAGAAAAACACTAGGCAACCAGGATTAAAAAGTAGGTATGGCTCATTTTAACACTTGAGGAAACTAAAACCTAGATGGGTTATAGGACTTGCCCAGAGCCACACAATTCAGAAAGGGTAGAGAGCCAGGAGCTGTGGTCATGTCTTCATGGCTCTAGAGATCATGATCTACTATACTGCTTTATAGGAACAGTATAGCACAGACATGAAGAGCAATGGCTCTAAAGACTGACTTCATCAGTCTGAAGCTGGGCTCAGTGACCGTGGGCAAGCTACTTATTTGTGCCTCAGCTTTCTTGTCTAAAAAATGAGAATAATAATAGCACCCATACTAGTAGTACCCATAGAGTTACAATGAGTTGGAACTGACTTGATGGCATACAACAGCAACAATAGCACCTAATGATCACTTGTTACTGTTGTTAGATGCCATTGAGTTGGTTCTGACTCAGTGACCCTATGTACAACAGAATGAAGCACAGTCCTGCACCATTGTCACAAAAATCGCTATATTTGAGCCCATTGCTGCAGCCAGTATTAAGGGTCTTCTTTTCACAGACCCTCTGCTTTACCAAGCATGATGTCTTTCTCCAGGAACTAGTCTCTCCTGATAACATGTCCAAAGTACATGAGATGAAGTCTTCCTATCTTTGCTTCTAAGCATTCTAGTTGTACTTCTTCCAAGACAGATTTGTTTTTTCTTCTGTCAGTCCATATTTAGTATTCTTCATCAACACCACAATTCAAATGCACCAACTCTTCTTTGGTCTTCTTTATTTACTGTCCAGCTTTCTTATGCATACGAGGCAATTGAACAAGACCAAGTTGGAGTCAGGCACACCTTAGTCGTCAAAGTGACATCTTTGCTTTTTTTAACATTTTAAAGAGGTCTTTGCAGCAGACTTGCCCAATGCAATACATTGTTTAATTTCTTGACTGCTGCTTCCATGGGCATTGAATGTGGATCCAAGCAAAATGAAATTCTTGACAACTTCAATCCTTTCTCCATTTTTCATGATGTTGCTTATTGGTCCAGCTGTGAGGATTTTTGTTTTACTTTATATTGAAGTATAATCTATACTGAAGGCTGTAGTCTGATCTTCATCAGGAAATGCTTCAAGTGGTCAATTTCTGCAAGCAAGGTTGTGTTATCTGCTTACTGCAGCTTGTTAATGAGTCTTCCTCTGATCGTGATGCTAATGGTTGAACTTTAACCTATTCTTTTCAGTATAGTGACTCTCTGTATTCCTTCCATCTACTTTTGATGCTTCCTATATTGTTCAAGTTTTTGCCCACAAAATTCTTCAATTCTGCAACTCAAGGCTTTGGATTTTTCTCCGGTTCTTTCAGCTTGAGAAATGCAGAGTGTGTTCTTCTTCCCTTTTGGTTTTCTAACTCCAGGTCTTTGCACATCTCATTATAATATTGTACTTTGTCTTCTCGAGCTGTCCTTTGAAATCTTCTGTTTAGCTCTTCTTTTACATCATCATTTCTTCCATTTGCTTTAGCTATTCTCCATTCAAGAGCTAGTTTCACATTTGGCCCTTTTTTTTTTTTTTTTTTCTTTTGTATCTTTTTAATGACCTTTCAATTTCTTCTGTATTATGTCCTTGATATCATCCCACAACTTGTCTACTCTTTGGTCATCATATTCAATGCATCAAATCTATTCTTAAAATGGTCTCTAAATTCAGGTAGAATATATTCTCAAAGTTGTACTTTGGATCTCATGGACTTGTTTTAATTTTCTTCTACCTTCAACTTGAACTTGCATATGAGCAATTGATGGTCTTTTCCAGAGTCAGCTCATGGTCTTGTTCTGACTGATAATTGTCAGAACTGATGACTGTCAATTCTTCTCCACTGTCTCTTTCCACAGATGTAGTTGTTTTGATTCTTGTGTATTCCATCCAGTGAGGTCTATGTGTCTTGTTGCCATTTATGTTGTTGAAAAAAATATTTGCAATGAAAAGCCATTCATCTTGCAAAATTCTATCTATGATCTCCAATATCATTTCTATCATCAAGGCCATCCTTCCCAACTACCAATCGGTACCTAGGTGGTGCAAATGGTTTGCACTTGACTGCTAACCTAGCCATTGGCTTTTGAACCTACCTAGTGGTGCCACAAAAGAAAAAGCCTAGCAATCTGCTTCCACTGAGATTACAGTCATGAAAATCCTGTCAAGCAGCTCTACTCTGTAACAGACAGGGTTGAATCAACTCACTAAGTTAGAATCAATGTCAACTAATAACAGGACCTAAGTCACAAGTCTATTATGAATCAAGATTTCATTGCACATAAGTCATTTCCATCAAGAACTGTATGGAAGTTCTGAACAAACTCATTCAGGAAATTTGCAATCAAAATTATACAAAATTGATTGGCGTAAACAAAACGAAAAAGGCAGAAGTTTTATCTTTTCAATGATAAGAGCCAACATGTCTGTAGTGCTTACTATAACATATGTCAGCCTCTGTTGCAAGCACTTTACATATATTAACTCACCAATCCTCAAATTCCTCCAATCAAAAGTCCTAAGACGTCTTCCAAGGTAAGATGACTTCCCACTGCCAATTTTATAAGATTGATAATATCCTCTCCCTTTACCTGAACTCTTCGTAGGTGAGCCACACGCTCCTCTATAGAGGTCTGCAAGACCACAGGAACTTTCAGAATCTCCTGGTAATTGTCCATCAGAAATGTCACCAACCTAGCAGCTAATAACTCATCCAAGTCTACTTCATCCTTGGAACACAAGATGCACCGGGAAAACGTCTGAACCATCTGGGGAAATAAATCAATACAAATTTTAAATATACACAGGAGAGTTTTTTCTTCTACTCTGAACTGATACAATCTAATTTGTAAAAAGCAAACTTGAATTGTTGATGAGAAATAGTCCAAGGCACAAGGTGCTCATCCTATCTGATACATGGCCATCTCAGATGAGCTGACTTTCTCATGAACAAGCATAAACAAAATGTGTGTCTCACTTACCTTAAAGAGCCTTAGCAGGGAGATGCTTACCTGAGAAATTCTTAAAGGAATCCTCTTTCATTAACAATTTCAAATATACACATTAACAAGTTCTGAAAATTATGATGACCTCCATGACTTGGATAATATAGTACTTTTCAGTTCAAACTATTTTATAGCTCCTTAACCAAATAATATCCTAATTTCATTATTGATATTAAAGAAAAAAAACTGATAGTACAGTCTGTATGTTTCATCTGTTACATTCTTCTCATTATTGTTATTTTCTCTTAGAGTTTTTTCTAGGATTTTGGATGTACATTTGGCAATGACCTTTGAACATAACCATGAGAGTGTATAAGAAGTGCATTAAGGAATGAGATTCTCTTTACAGTAAGCAAAAGTATAAAAAATATATTATAGATGTAATATATAATATGAATAGAATTCATATTAACTATTCCATTCTCAATACTATCCATTAGACTGACTTTCTTTTTCTGCGCCCCCCACCTTTTTCTACTAATTTTATGGGTGACATATAGTATGTTGTTGTCGTTGTTATGTGCTGTCAAGTTGGACCTGACTCATAGTGACACCTCCTTGGGTTTCTGAGGCAGTATCACTACAGAAGTAGATGGCCCCATCTTCCTTCCAAGGAGTGGCTGGTGGGTTTGAACCGCCAGCCTTCTGGTTAGCAGTCAAGTGTCTTAGGCACTACACTACCAGAGCTCCCGGCTACAACATATACACTCCCGCAATCACAGTAATAACTGTGATTTGTGAGCCAATATAAAGATAAATACATATTCTACATAGGGTCGTAGAGGAGTACACCCACATACATATATATGTATGGTTGTTGATATTACTACATTCATATTTCTAAATGTTGATGTAACTTATATATATAACAATACACATAAAGGGCACAGAAACTACTTAGACATTGGGACTGAACAAATGGACTTAAAGGTTTAGGACCATAGTCTCAGGGAACATCTAGGTCAACTGGCAAAATACAGATCATAAAGATAATGTTCTACATCCTAGTCTGGTGTGTAGTGTCTAGGGTCTTTAAGGCTTGCAAGCAACCCTCTAAGAAGCAACTACTGGTCTCTTCCCATCTGGAGCAAAGAGAATGAAGAAAATCAAAGTCTCAAGGAAGCAATTAGTCCAAAGGACAAATGGCCCACATGAACCACAGCCTTCTCTGCCCTGAGGCCAGAAGAACCAAATAGTGCCCGGCTACCACTCTGACAGGGACCACAATAGAAGGTCTCAGTTAGAATGGGTAACAAATGAAGAACAAAATTCAAATCTTAAAAAAAAAAAAAACCAGATTTACTGGGCTGAAAAAGACTGGGGGAACCTCAAAACTACTGCCTTAAGATAACCTTCGAAATTGAAACTGAAGACAATCGCAGAAGCTACATTTCAGCCAAATAACAGATGACCTTATAAAATAAGGGAGCTCTGGTGGTGTAGTGCCTAAGGCATTTGACTGCTAACCAGAAGGCTGGCAGTTCAAACCCACCAGCCACTCCTTGGAAGGAAGGTTGGGCAATCTACTTCCATGGAGATATTGCCTCGGAAACCCAAGGAGGGGTGGCTATGAGTCGGATCCCACTCGACAGCAATGAGTTTGTTTTTTTGGTTATAAAATAAACAACACCCTTGAAGAATGTGTTCCTTAGAACAATATAAAGCAGAAAGAGCAAACTTTACTTGAAACCAAAGATGAGAAGGCAGGGAGAGACAAGGAAACAGGACAAATAGAAATGGGGAGGAAATGGGAAAGCACTAACACACTGTAGGGACTGTAAGCAATGTCACATTTTTGTATGAATTATTGATTGGAAAATCAATTTGCTATGTAAACTTTGACATAAGGAACAGTAAAATATTTTTAGAAAGAAAAGAGGTCATGAATCACCCTATTAGCAATTGAGTGACCCTTTGATCTTAGTTCACACTTCTTCTAAAATTGGGCTTAGTTGATCCCCGGGATTCAAAGTATTTTACCAAAACATTCCAAGAACATGTATCTCATGGAAGCTTCAATTTTGCTTCAAGGCTTTTTTGGAGAGAAATGAGAGTTAACTAGTAAGTGATTTTAAACATAAATTCCATTTTAAAATATACATTGATATATTACAAAGTTGAATTAAAAAGTAGTATGTGTTTTTAAAAAAAATTGAGAAAACTAATAAGTATCTTCATTCATGGGCCCTTAAACCCTACCCCCAGGGATAAATGTTCTCTCCCTGTCCTGGTAAACTGTCTAGTCCAACTCTACATTTTACATCTTCTCTAGTAGAGTGATTTTAATCCATTATACATGCTGCAGCTCACCTACTGGTTATAGTAATGATGGCTTTCCAACCCTTTTTGTCCTAGAGTTAGAAAGAATGTTGTTTTCTTGAGAGACTTTTTGTCCTTTCTGTCTACCTTTTCTTCTCTTCATGTTGACAGAAGGTATCAGTTTAAGAAGAAAGGACAGGATGCAATAGTTCTCTACACTCAGAGTCTGCCCCCACTCACTCTTTCCTTTCCTTACATTCTTTAAAACACATCGACCAAAAGCACAATGCCAGTCTGGCTGGATTCCAAGCCTTAGCTATTTAGGGAAGCCTGCCTGGGACCACCTTCTGATTCCCTAAACTAATAACATTATTCAGTTGAATTTCATTCCAAAAATTCAAGTCATATTAGATGTTAGGAATCAACGTACCAATGTTCGAGTCCCAAAGCCATCACACAGTGGGGGCATCTCTTTGTTTAAACAGATCCTTGCCATCATCCTCATCAACAGTTGTAACTTTCTCCTATTTTCAGGTGGCAAAAGGAGGCAGCAAATCTGAAATGCTTCAACAGCCATTTTCTCTTTCTGTAACAAACCTGATTTAGAAAAAAGTTTATATATTTCAAAACCTATTACCTATATGGCTTTATTATCTTCACATTTTTCTTCTCATTTATTTTATTGTGGTGAAAACATACACAAGAAGACATTTGCCAACATAACTCCCACATTTACAGCTCAGGGACAATGATGATATTTTTCATGTTGTGCCATCATTACTGCTATCCTTCTCCACACTGTCCCACGGCCCCTAACATAACCTCAATGTCCCACAAACAAAGGCTTTGTTATGTTCACATTTATAAGAAATATTTATTACTAAAAGTACATAAAATATTTTCACATATTTGACTATATTTAAGCTAATTGATTATAGATCCTATCACTCAAAAAACAGCATATAGAATAAAAAAATAAATAATCATTCAAAAATAAAGACAAAACAAAAATCAACATAGAACTACAACCATTAACCAGGAATAAAGAACACTCATTTCCCCCTCCCAACCTTTGATAGACATAACTAAAATGTCATAGCATTCTTTCCCAGTGAATAGGATCAGTCAGGCTAACCCAATTCTTCCTTATTCAAGAATATTCATATTATTATCAGGTCTAAGACAGCATGAGCAATGATACAAATGTGCTGTTGCTGCTCAACCCTCTCCCTGTATTATTTCCTCACGATGAGCAGCATCACCATCTTTCATGACTCTCACAGTTAACATAATAGGACTTCAGTTCCCATAGTCAGCCCACTGAAAAATGCACCCACTTCTTTCTAAGTAATACCTGTCAAATAACTGTTCCTTCCACGTAGGCTATTTGTTCTAGCTAAATGTCCTGATTCTACTGTGTTATATACCATCTGCCTCATCTTGGGTATAATTTTACTAAAAATTAGCATATTTAAATACTATATTCTCTTCAACCATTTCTGTTCCTGAGCACACCCATATCCAAACCTTCTAATGAGGTGAAGCTTCTTCCACCATTTTATTTGTTCTGTATTCAAACTTTTCAAGTTCCCTCCAAACTCTAACTTGTTGACAAAATTGCTTTTTATTTCATTCAAAAATATTTACTGACCACCTATGATATGCCAGGAACTGTACCAAGTTTTGGAGAGACAAAGATATGTTAGGTCCCTTCCTTAGAAGAGTAGCTCTGGTGGTTAAAATACTGGGCTGCTAACCATAAGGTTAGCAGATCAAACCCACCAGCCACTATGAGAGAGAAAGATAGGGCAGTCTGTTTTCAGCCTTGGAAATCCTATGGGGCAGTTCTGTCTGTTCTATATTGTTGTTATGTGCCGTCGAGTTGGACCCGACTCATAGCGATCCCTCCTTGAATTTCCGAGGCAGTATCACTACGGAAGTAGATTGCCCCATCTTCCCTCTGAGGAGTGGCTGGTGGGTTTGAACTGCCAGCCTTCTGGTTAGCAGTCAAGTACCTTAGGCACTACCCTACCAGAGCTCCTATAGGGTTGCTATACGCTAGAATCAACTTACTGGCAGTGGATATGGTTTTTGGTTTCATTTGAAGAGTATACATACTGTGAAAAGAAGACACCCATAAACAAATAAGTAGCAAAATGGGAAAGGTGTTGTGAGAACCATCTGTATGGGGCATATTAAAACAAAGAAACAAAAAAAACCCAAACTCATTGCCATCAAGTCAATTCTGACTCATAGTGATCCCCACTTGGTTTCCAAGGCTGTAAATCTTTACAGAAACAGACTGCTTCATCTTTCTTCCATGGAGGGGCTAGTGGGGCTAGAAACACCAACTTTTTGGTTAGCAGACAAATGCCTTTAACCACTACACCACCAGCGCTCTTTGTGCAGGGCATATTAGGGAACTGTCAATCATTCGAAATAGGATGAGAGGGCAAGGACTTACTAGAAAGAAAGCTGGAAAGGCTGGCAGAGCAAGAGCTTAAAAGGCCTTGAATGCCATACTAACGAGTATGGGTTTGATCCCACAGGCAATATGGATGTGCATGGCAGGAACAAAGGGGCAGGAGAAAAGATTTTGAGATACTATCTGATCCTGGAAAACCAAACCCACTGCCATCAAGTTGATTCCAACTCATAGTGACCCTCATTGGGTTTCCAAGGTGGTAAATCTTTACAGAAGTAGATTGCCCCGCCTTCTTTCCACAGAGTGGCTGGTGGGTTTGAACTGCCCATCTTCTGGTTAGCAGTGAAAATGCCTTAGACACTGCCTTCTTACTTGGGAAAGTTGCCTCTAAGTATCATTATCATTGATATAGACTTGCTTTCAATTCTACGTAATCACAATCAGGGAAAGATAAAAGGTTTATGACTATATTTTAATTATTTCTGTCATTTAGTCAATAAATATCTATATCAAGTCCTGCCTATATTCCATGAAATATTTTAGGAGAGAACATGCAGTGGGGAATAAAACAAAATCCCTCTCTGATCTCATGAAGCTAACTCCCCAGCAGAAGCATCAGATAATAAAGAGATCTATAAAATGATGTCAAGTAGAAAGAGACTGTAATGAACTACAAAATAGGAAAGAAGCTGAGAAGCGATGAGATGTTCTCAAGAAAACATCTCCAGAATTTAAGGAAAGGCCTCTCTCTGTGGAGGGAACAATTGAACAGAGACCTGAAAGAAATGAGAGTAAACTATGGAAATATTGGAGAGGTGAACTTGCAAAGCAGAGGAAATACCAAATACCAAGATTGTGAAATGGGAACAAGCTTGGAGTCTGAGGAACAGCACTGAGGTCAGTGTGGAAAAAGGGCAGTATATAAGGGAAAGAGCAGTCAAATGAGGTTACAGAGGGAGTCAAGAACCCGATGATACCAGAGCCTCATGGGCCATTGTTAAGGATTTCATGGTCAGTGACCTGAGAAGCCATGGGAGGGCTTTGGGCAGCAGTGTCACTTGATCAGAATTACTTTTTACTCCAGCAGATATAAAGGGAATAGATTGTGAAGAGGTAATAGGCAGTAGGCCAGTTAGGCAGATTAGTGCACGGCCAAAGGAAGGCAAAATGATGTCTATATGGGTTCGTAGTGGTTGCAAATGGTAAGAATTAGTTAGAGTCCAGATCTATTACTCCACAAAATCTACTTTTTCTATGAAGCCTTCAATCACTTTAGTCAACAAATCCCTTCTTTTTCCAAATTATTAAAACACATTCAGAAAGTCAGATTTCAGTTAAACTGCAAGCAAAGGATAAGTCTTATATCTCTAAAAAATAAGTCTTATACCTCATTTTTTTTCTAAAGAACTCGTTGAGGTCCTATATTTTGTATCAATAATAGCTAAATGCTCTTGGGCTCACAGCTTTCTCATAAGCTTAACCATGCTAGAAGTAAACTTTATATTATCATGTTACATGTATACGTATTGCTTTATGAAGGAGAGTACAGGTAATTGAAAGAATAATGAATTTATTTTAGCAAATCATATATCCTAGTATAGTGTTGTTTTTTTGCTAGGTGTTGTCAAGTCAGCTCCGACTCACAGCGACCCTACATACAACAGAACAAAACACTGCCTGGTCCTGCCCCAGCCTCACAATCCTTGCTATGCTTGACCTCATTGCTGCAGCCACTGTGTCAATCCATTTCACTGAGGGTCTTCCCCTTTGTTGCCAATCCTCTACTTTACCAAGTGTGATATCCTTCTCCAGGGACTGGTCCCCTGTGACAATGTAACAAAAGTAGATGAGATGAAGTGTGGCTATTCTTGCTTCTAAGGAGCATTCTGACTGCACTTCTTCCAGAAAAGATTTGTTCATTCTTCTGGCAATCTATGGTGTTTTCAATATTCTTCACCAATACCACAATTCAAAAACATTGACTCTTCTTGTCTTCTTTATGCATTGTCCAGCTTCCATATGAATATGAGGTGAAAGTACCATGGCTTAGGTTAGGTGAACCTTAGTCTTCAAAGTAACATTTTCCCCCTTAATACTTTAAAGGGTTCTCTTGCAGCACATTTGCCCAGTGCAGTATGTGTGATTTCTTGACTATTGTTTTCATGGGTATTGATTATGGATCCAAGTAAAATGACAACTTCAATCTTCTGTCCATTTATCATGCTGTTACTTCTTATCGTACCATAAATTGCCAGTGGTATAGCTTCACAGCAACATGCACACCACCACACTATGACAAACTGACAGATGATTGGTGGAATATAAAGAAAAAAACAACTCATTGCCATCGACACATAGTGACCTTCAGTGGGTTTCCAAGGCTGTAAATGTTTACAGAAGCAGACTGCCTCATCTTTCTTCCATGGAGTGGTTGGTGGAGTGTGGTAGAGTATAGTGGTAGGCATACAAAATAAATACTCAAATACCTATTCATCAAGGTTGTTAATGAGTCTTCCTCCAACTCTAATGTGTTCTACTTCAGAGAGTCCAGCGTCTCAGATTATTTGCTCAGCATAGAGATTGAATAAGTATGGTGAAAGGATGCAACGCTGCCTCACACCTTTCCTGATTTTACACCATGTAGCATCCCCTTGTCCTGTTTGAACAACTGCCTCCAGGTCTATATATAGGTTCCATACACAGAACAATTAAGTGTTCCGGAATTCTCATTCTTTGTAATATTATCCATAATTTGTTAGGCTCTACACAATCAAAGCCTTTGCAGAGTCAATAAAATACAGATAAACATCTTTCTGGTATTCCCTGCTTTCAGTCAAGATCCATCAGATGTCACCATGTCTGCTTCTGAATCCAGTTTGAATTTCTGGCAATTCCCTATCAATATAGCACTGCAACTGTTTTTTTTTTAAATAATTTTCAGCAAAATTGTATTTGTGTGTGATATCAGTGGTGTTCTCAATAATTTCCACATTCTGTTGTATCACCTTTCTTTGCAATGTGCACAAATATGTACCTCTTTCAATCAGTTGGCCAAGCAGCTGTCTTCCACATTCATTGGCATAGATGGCGTGCTTACAGTATCGCACTCGATTGTTGAAACATCTTAACTGGTATTCTTTCCATTCCTGGAGACTTCTTTTTCACCAATGTT